ATATTGATTAGCAGCCTACTTCAGGCTGTATGTAAAGTGTAGGTAAATCAGAATGCATTCCACATTATTTACATATATTTTATATATATTTGAATGTTGATGGTGTCAGTTTTATTTAACAATTCTCATTATGAATTTGAAACGTGCTGGGACGCTGACAAGAAGAAAATACTCGGTCATGTGCTGGAATAGTATCGAGTATTTCAAAAGTTAGAATTCACGTTCTCGCTACAGCCCTTCTTTCCTCAGACGTTCCCAGCTAACATCCTCCTCTTACCTTAATGAGATTCAGTCTTGTGGGGTTTTTTTTCCCAAGCTGACCTTTGACCTGTTCACAGGGATGGAATGAATCCACAAGACGTACCTGACAGCCCGGACTCCCCGAGCCGGTACGGTGACACTGCGCACGTCATGTTTTTGTACTGTGAGGAACAAAGAAAACATAAAGCCGCTGCTAATCGTGGCTCTGATTACAGCATAACAATAAGTTCGACTCATCTGCATTTCTCATCTCAGGTTGTCAGATGTAAACAGTCCCGAGCTGGACTCCATCATCACAGACTTCAAGTAAGTTTCTTTAAGTTCACAAATGTAATTTAACAAACTGTTTGCTCCCACATCAGCCCAGTCTCACACAGGTTTCCCTGAAAGTCATCAAGTTCATATCTGTAGAAATCAGCGAGTCATTGTGGCCTGGGAGTGTCCCCGTATATCGGTGTCCATATTTCTCTCTCTCACGATCGTGTTCCTCCAACAACAGCTTGTCTTTCAGCTGGTTTTCATCCCTGGAGATTGCTCTCCTTTCTCTAAAACAGCCCCGATTCTGTTCCCGTGTTTCAGGTTACAGATACCGGACGACAAAGATGGTCTGGAGTCAACAGATCCATCGAATGGGTAAGACTGGCCTGTGAGCTCTCTCAGATCATACACGAAAACCGAGGCTTAGATTACAGAAATGTTTGGTTCCATCGAGACACAAAGATGCACGTGTTGAGGTGACAAAGTCGTCAGGAGTTCATGGGCAGCTTCTCCTGCTGCTTGTGATATCAATAATTCAGACAGAGGGAACCTGAGAATAACATCATCTCTCTGCACTTTAGTTATGCCTGAGTGTGACCGTGAAATCATTGCTTATTCAAACTATGATGAG